CCTCCATCCTACTGGTTGCAGATAAGCTCTCTATTTTTACTCTTTTGTTTGTTTGTTTGATATATAAGAAGATGAAATTTCAGTATTTGTTATCCTTATATGTAAGCAGAGGGTGGGGTGGAGCACACAATTAATGAGTATTCAGTGTTGCATTAATTCACCTTGTTAGGCCTCTTTTTTTGTAAACAGGAGTCTGCCTTCAGACTCCAATGGTGATTGGGTCTGTATGGACTTGGTCTGATTAAACTAGTCCATTTTACAAAAGAAAACATGATTTTTTTTAATGTGGTATGAATAGTATTTGGATACATAAATATCCACATTGCCAAGCTATGCTCTCTTTTTAAAAACAGAAATTGCTGCTATAAGAGATATGATGAAAAGTGTGTAAAGTCTATACAATCTTCTAGCAGTAGATTGAGACCAGTGGCATTTCCCCGAAAAAATAAATTACCCGAAATTTGCAGCACATTCATATTCAATTTCATCACAGCAGATGCTCATTAGTATGTTGTTATTAATTGGTATTCACTTTAGGTTTTGTTTAAAATGAAGATAATAATTAGGTTTTAATTACTGCATCTTTCTAGGGGGGAGGGGAGGAAATGCCTCTCAGAGCACTGAAGTATTTCCTGTACGCTTCGCTTAGCTACATGTGCGCTTTGAATATCTGGGATCCATTTGCTGCCAAAAGACTCTCTTTCTCTGTTTCCTTTCTTTTTGCTTTGTATAGTATTAAGAAATTGTCCTAAGTAAATTGCTTGATGGACATACTGATTCATACAGTAGTAGTAAGAACTGTGTTCTTTCTAATCAAATTACCAAAAAGACTTCTCACCAAAGTAACTCTCTCAAGCAGCTGATTAATGAAGTGGTGCCACTGTTTTGTATTACAATTAATTGAAGTAATACAAATAACTTCTGTAGCCTGTGGAAATTATCTCCTTTGCAAAGCAGTCTAGTAGTTAGCAAACCGGAGGTGGTTAGTTTTTTTTAATTATTCTCATTGCGTTCATCATTCATAGAAAGCAACTGAAAACACTAAATGAGAAAGTGCCCACTAACCCCACCACAGCAGGAAGGTATGGGAGTGAGCCAGGTGTAGAAGAAAGACAAAAAAGGGGGGCGTTCATGAGTGTAGTGGTTCTGTGGAGAAGCAGAGTAATTTGGGAGATAATAAGAATAAATAAAAAATTTAAACCTACTCTTAGAGATGTAATCCAAAACAGAGGCAGGACCCTTCCAATTTCAACACCTAAATGCAGCTGCCATCAACTTCTTGTCCATTAAAGAAATGCTGATGAGTGTGTGTATCTTAAATTCTTCTCATGCACTGCATTTGGGGTGGGAAGGATACAAACTAATAAGTAAAATTTGCCAGGTTCTCTAGTTTTCAGAGAGCTGAGCAAGCTTTGACTTAAGACGAGTAAGGGTAGCCACTGACAATCCTTCGCCACTGTGTGAGCGAATTTAAGAAAACTGTGCTCAGATCTTAGTTTTCTATTCCTGCTAGAGAAGTGGCAAACCTGGGTCTGCTAATTGCGAAAAAAAATGCCCCACTTGCTAACTATATGCTATTAGGAAGACTGTTTGCAGTGGTGGCCAGCGGTAGGATGAGAGGCAAAAGGGACGAACCAAAACACAGGAAATACCCAGTGAGGGTGACAGAGCCCTGGAACAGGCTGCCCAGAGAGGTTGTGGAGTCTCCTCCTCTGGAGATCTTCAAAACCCGCCTGGATGCCACCCTGTGCCACGTGCTCTAGGTGTCCCTGCTGGAGCAGGGGGGTTGGACTAGATGATCTCTAGAGGTCCCTTCCAACCTTAACCATTCTGTGATTCTCCATACAAGTATGATATATCTGTGAAGTCTCCTTTGCCCTAACAAGCATTTCCTAGGGTATGTGGTAGGTAAGCAAGGTTTTTCTGATGACTGAGCATTTTGTACCCTACTTTTTGTGTTCATTCATGAAAACACATGGGGAAAAGTTGAATAACCAGTGTTGCATTTCACCAGTTCTGTTAAGAAGGCACCATCAGTTTCCTGCTATGTGATCTGTAGTAGGAAATCTTTCTGGGAAGACATGTTGAAGATTTGTGTTTGGCCTGCTGATAGTAGAGGATTCTGGAACCATATTAAACCTAGATTCTTTAAATGAATACTTGTTGGCTGAGCACAATGATTTTTCTCTTTGATTTTTTTTTTCATCTCATCTGTTAGTTTTCTATTGTATATGCAATTTTCTGTCAAAGGAGTAAATAACTGTGATGAATACAGACGGGGTACCTTTGGTTTCTGTATCTGTTTATTGCTCTTCTAAATAAAATACGAAATAATGTCTGGTTGCTTTGGTACAGAATGTTCTTTCCATGAAAGGAAGCTGTCAAGGCAGCAGACTTACCTACTGAAGTCAGTTCTTAATGAAATCAAGAAATCAAACATCATGAACAATGCTTAGGAACTTCAAAATGCTTTTATCTTCATCTACTCAGAATTCAATATTGTATGGCATGAAGGAACAGAAATTCACCAGAAATTAACTATAAAGCTTTCCTTGTGTTGAAACTTTGCAATGGTTTAGGTTTGGAAGGTAGGGAGGTGGTTTGTTTATTTTTTAACCTGTAAGTTATTGAAAATTAAAGGGAATAAATAAGTGGTGGTACAAATCATTCCTGATTTCTTAAAAATTTAAGATATCTTTCTTGGCTTTATATGTATGCCATATGCATGCTTAATTTTATGAAAATCTCCAGAACCATTCGTTTTCCACCCAGCTTACTAGTTGTAAAGTATGGTGGGAAGTTCAAGAGAAGGATGTGTTAGCACACTCAAAGTATGAGTAAAAAATTCTGTGTGGTTTGTCTACAAACGTATGAGTGTATATATATATATATATAAATATATATATATATATATGCGTATCTGTGTGTGCACATGCACATTTTTCCATACTGTTTTTTGTATTTCCTTTATCCATTTAGGCAGTGACTTTCAATTAGCCTGCCTACTAGTATCAGGTCACTAAACTCCATAGCTGATGCTTTATTCTTTCGTGTGGGTTGTCATTCGTTTGCTTCAGTTGGCTGGCAAAGGTTGTTGTATATCCATTACCAGCAACACAGCACTTTGCATTTCTGAATTGACAAGCAGCTATATTGACCTAGCGCTTATTATGGGTCAACAGCTGCGTTAACCGACGGAAGGACTGAGGGGCAATTAAAATGAATTGGCAAAAATATATCTTCCTAATTTACTCCAATTTGTTATTTATGCTAACATTGTATGGCTTCTATGGTGACACTAAACAGAATGGACCCAATAATGGCAATTAACATAAAAATATAATGGCTAATCAAATTGACAGCAACTGTTTCTCATCATCTCGACACACAATACATTATCAAAACAAACTATTATGAAGGAGGTAATTTCAGTGTTCTATTCAACCTGCTTCATGTGTGCAGTCAGGGAGATGTGTACCAGCAATTACAGCTGAATCTAAAAAACTAAACAAATAACTTAATCGCTGTCGTCCTCCTTCTTTCTTCTTCAGGAAGCAGTAATCAGGATTTACTAAAAATAACTGGTGTATAATAGTATAATGATGATGCATATCGTAGAATAGCTAATAGGGAATAAAATAAGCTTCTGTGTCTTTTTTTAAAATACGTTCACATGAAGTGGAAAGAAGTATAATGTTAAAATATTAAAAAAAAAAAAAACTAAACAGGAGTAATAGTTGCCAAATGTCTCAACATGAGTTGCTTAATAGTTACAGATATTTTATAATGTGTCAGGAGAAGTATAAGATTAGCTGAATTTAACAAAAAAAACTTGGCTTGTTTGGGTAAAAAAGCGAAAAGCTAAATTAAAGCAGGGTTCCAGTAAGCCTAAGTAGTTATCAGTTGTTATTCCACTGCATTTGCTGTCTCATTCCTGATGATATACTGAGCAGCAATTGAATTGTAGTCTAACCACAACTTGTGTGGGTTTTGTAGCTCATAAGGAAAATCTTCAAGAGTTTGTACGTGCCTACATGTATCCAATCATAGTAAAATGGACACTGCTTCTAAGTTTGATGTAGTTATGGTTATTTCATTCTTGGTTATGGGTTTTTAGAGCACAAACCTTCAACTGGCCAATATCTGAACCCCAGTATGAGGCAGAGTGTTGAATGTGGTGATATTGAACAAGACATCAATAAAAGTAACTTGAAATGGTTTAGTCATAGAGGAGCCAGTGTAGAACTATCTCATGTCTATCCAAGCAATTTTCTGGCACACAGAATGACAACAGTGATATAAATGCACACAGGTATGTACTTCTGAGCTAGAGAAAGAGCACAGAAGCTTGACATCAGTGACATGCAGAGCATTTGATTGAATATGATATTCCACATGTACACACCTGCAGATTTTTGAACCAAATGTATGTGATTACCTACATGCAGTAGCCTTCACAGATGTGTAGAGCAAGACAGTGACATAATCTGTAAAGGTATATGTGCAGCTGGTTTTACTTGAACGGCATGTTCACAGTTTATTTAACCACAGCTGTGCGGGTGCATGGAGGGTTGGGTGGGAGGAAAATACAGCCAAGCACCTGTATTCACCAGAAATACATATTAACTATTTTTCCTTTTGGAGATCATGCCATTGTGCGTTATCCTCAGGCATTAGGAATAAGTTACTCCCTTGTCCCGGCATTCTCAAGAATCTCATTTTGCTCCTGCAGCATCATTGTGGTATGCCAATGTGTATATCTAAAGAAAAGACAAATTTAGTATTATTGATATGAATGCTTAAGTTATGAGAAAAAAAGTACATAGAAATATGTAGCAAGGAGATTTTGCATTAAAATAATAAAAATCTGACATGAACAGAGCATATAATCTGTTACAAAAGCACAGAAGGAAATGCCTTTTGATATTGGAAATAGAAATAGATGCAAAAGATCCATTTCTTGGAATGGGGGTTTTAATCATTGTCTCCTTTTGTTACAGTATTCTGATAAGGCCCTCTACACCCAACTCTGCTTTTACCGGTACATTTTTGATGTGGATTATGCAGTGGATAAAGTGGTTCCTGAAGAAGATAAAGGTAGGTTTAAATTTTCAGTTAAATATAGTTTAATAGCAGCTTGTCTTCTACAAGCCAGAACTACGCATTTTTATTCTTCAGCTCTCAACTACTAGGCTGTAACATAAACCAAAAAGAAGAAGATAGCCTGGATTTAGGAATCCTCTGCAAGAGGAATGTGCTGTGTTGGAATAACCAATTTAAGAGTATGTTGTGTATCTCCTTTTGTCTTTTGACTGAACTGTTATACCGTTTGAAAATGTCTTTGCCTAAAGTTGGAAGGACACGGCAACTTCAACAGATTAATTAAAAATACGTATTGAAAAAAAAGGTCAAATAAAACTTGTTTTCCACTATTAATGTCTACAAGGCCCTTTTTATCAGGGGAGAAAATGATGAGACAAAAAAACTGTAACACTAATTACCTACAAAGCTCTGTTAAATACCCAAATTAACCTAATGTGAGGAAGACTTGTTTCATCCGATCACCATAACATTTATGTAGTAAAA